TATCGGATCTGGATGTTTTTCCATCGATGTATTCTTTTGTTATCGAAAGTCTTTTGTACCTAAGAGAATCAGAAAAAAAAATTGGAATGTTATAAACGTCACATCTCTATTAATTGATATTTAAATAATTATTTCATTTTAATTTATTTATTAATTTATTAATTTCTTTATCTCCAGTTTAGTTTTCACTATTTTTTATTTAAAAATAGTTGGCGCCCTCTCTTTCGCCCTCTGTTTTTCTTTTCTTCCTCTGCCTTTCTTTTCTCTCTCTTTCTTTCCCGTAGAATAAATATTCGCCCTCTCTCTTTCTGTGCGACAGACTAAATATTCTGTTTTGTGTTGACAGACAAGCAACATCCTATGACATCTGTGCTAACTTCAAGCAGTCCCACTACTTTCTGTCAGTTAAATGTTCTAATGTAGTGGGAATATAATTTTTTGCCTGCTTTTGAAATTTATATAAGAAGGCAAAACTTATTGTAAGACTCATTTTATGGCCTACAAATTCAAATCATGAAAATTTATTGACCAATGGAGGACCTAACCTAAATCCCTATCAAATTATGAAACTTTATTGACCATTGGAGGACCTAACATCTAGAACAAACAAGCAGCCCATCGAAGCAATAAGTGTTACTTATTAATTGTTAAGGTTTAGCAGGGTTAATTATTGTTTTTTATTCTTTTTAATATGGTACAAATTTACCGAAAGATTACCGGTATAAGTAATCTCCCAGTTGTTGGCCAACAGCTGAGGGTGGATGAGCTGACAGAGGGCAACTCATTGTCCTGAGGCTGAGAAATCGACCTCAAAGGCGGAAGAGCTAATATATTAGTCAACGGCATTGGGATGTAGCAGGCAACGAGAAACCACTACAGTAAAGATCCAATGGATATCTCTAGTATAGTTATCATGGCATGATAAATAATCAACAAAATCTTACTGATCATGGAGATCGGAGGCCAAGATCCGGCAAGAAAAGTGACAAGGCTTTTCGGGTCGTCAACCAGCGAAAACCTTGTCAAAATATAAATATTACCAACGAAATAATGAAAATTGGAACATGGAACGTTACCAGCATATATGAGCCAGGAAAAACACACAACGTTATTCAAGAAATGCAAAGAATGAATATTAGCATTTTGGGTATAAGCGAAACCCGATGGTCGGGAAATGGATGCTGTCATATTAAAGATCACATAATCTACTACTCCGGTAACCAAGATCCCCAACATCCTAATAGAGTGGGTATAATGTTAAAAAAGTCTCTATCTCGTCATGTCCTGAACTTCCTACCTTTGTCCGATCGTGTTATGATGTTACAAATAAATACAAACATCACAAAAATGAATATAATACAAGTATACGCACCAACAGCGGACAAAGAAGAACATGAAATAGAAACATTTTATGAACAAATTGACTCGGCATTGAAACTGACCAAAAAAAGGGACATCACAATAATAATGGGAGATTTGAATGCTAAAGTTGGGAAAGGAAGGACAGATGATTTGGTAGGAAATTTTGGATTAGGGAATACGAACGAGTCTGGTGAAAGACTGGTACAATTTTGCCAGGAAAACAGAATGGTAATTACAAATACCTTTTTCGAACTACCCAACAGACGTTTATACACATGGAGATCTCCACAAGACACAGAACATCACATAGTGAGAAACCAAATAGACTATCTACTAATCAATGAAAGATACAGAAACAGCATAATGTCAATTAAGACATACCCTGGTGCAGATATATCATCTAATCATAATCCACTAGTTGCAAGAATGAAAATAAAACTAAAGAAAATTAATAGCACAACCCCCAAAAAAGCAGTTGATATCAACAAATTACGAAAACCAGAAGTAAGAGAACAGATGACACAAGAAATTGATGAAGCAGTAACAAAGATACAACCCATAAAAGACAACACAAAAGTTAACATCAATGAGAATTGGACAGACATTAAAACAGCGTTAATGAAACAAGCATAAGTCACCTCCATAAAAGTAAAGAATATAAAAAAGAATGGATGACAGATGAGATACTGAACTTAATGGATGAAAGAAGAAAGCAGAAAAACAAAAAGAACCAGAAGTATAAAAAGATACAAAAAGAAATTCGTCTAAAAATACGCACAGCTAAAGAAAACTGGTACGGGGAAAAATGCGAAGAAATCGAACAACTACAAAATAAACACGACAGCTTTAATGCACATCGGAAGATCAAAGAGTTGACGAGGAGACAAAGTAACAGACACAACATATTAGTAGACGAGAGTGGAAACATTATTATGGACACAGAAGAAAAATTAAGAGTCTGGAAACAGTACATAGAACAACTGTTTAAAGATCAAAGAGACAATGTAGATAACGAATACATAAACAGTGACACAGGACCAGAAATAACAAGGGATGAAGTGGAATACACGATTAAATAAATGAGGTCGGGAAAGGCTACAGGCCCAGATGAACTACCAGTAGACATAATTAAACTCATCAAAGGCAACAACTTAATAAAGATCGTGGAACTATTTAACAGCATTTACAAATCTGGTATCATACCTAATGAATGGCTAGTAACAACAATAATAGCCATACCCAAAAAGTCTAATGCGAGACAATGCTCGGAACATCGCACCATCAGTCTCATGTGTCATATATTAAAGGTCTTCTTAAAAATCATTCATCGGAGAATATATAAAAAATTGGAAGTTGACATCGGACCCTCTCAATTTGGCTTTAGAGACGGACTAGGAACTAGAGAGGCATTGTTTGCTTTTAATGTTCTAACACAACGATGCTTAGACATAAATCAGGACATATTTGTGTGTTTCTTAGACTATAACAAAGCATTTGATACAGTAAAACATAGGCCACTGATGCAAATAATGGAAAATAAAAATATTGATACAAGAGACATGCGAGTGATAAGGAATCTATACTACAAACAAGAAGCTACAGTACGAATTAACAGCTCGATATCAGATAGAATACAGATCAAAAGAGGTGTTCGGCAGGGCTGTGTGTTGTCTCCAACCTTGTTGAATGTCTAAGCGGAAGAAGTTACTAAAAAAGCTCTTATGAACGAAAAAGCCGGAGTAAAGATCAACGGTCACCCCATTTGCAATATCCGATATGCTGATGATACCGCGCTCATAGCAGAAAATATTGACGATCTACAGAGATTACGAAACAAAGTGGTAGAAGCAAGTGAAGAATTTGGTCTCTCACTGAATACAAAGAAGACCAAATTCATGATAATTACAAAGAAACGTATCAATAATATCAACTTACATGTAGGACAGAATCTCATTGAACGAGTACAAAATTACAATTACCCCGGAACAAACATTAACGAGTCAAACGAATACACCAGAGAAATAAGAAGAAGAATAGAGAAAGCCCGCAGTGCCTTTAACAATATGAAACAAATGTTGTGTAGCCGAAACCTAAGCCTAAAGCTGAAAATACGAATGCTTAAATGTTATGTTTTCTCGGTCCTGTTATATGGGGTGGAGGCGTGGACACTAAATAAGCAATGTATGGGTAAGCTGGAGGCATTTGAGATGTGGGCGTACCGAAGAATGTTAAAAATCTCCTGGAAGGATAAGATAACTAACCAAGTTGTATTAGACAGGATGAACAAACAAAAGGAGGTCGTATTGAGTGTTAAAATGAGGAAACTACAATACCTGGGACATATTACACGTGGGAATAAATATCAACTGTTACAACTAATTATGCAACGAAAGATTGAAGGTAGGCGCAGCATAGGTAGGAGAAGAATGTCATAGTTGAGAAACCTCAGGGAGTGGTTTGTTCCGAGCGGCAGCCTCCAGGGTCAAAATTGCCATGATGATAGCCAACCTTCGTAGCGGAGATAGAACGTGAAGAAGAAGAATTCTTTTTAATAAATAGATTTGATTAAGATTTGTTTTATTTGCTATCAGTTAAGAACTCAGGTTCAATCCCTAGTTTAAGATATGATGAACTCACCCTTGAGGTACTGAGCTAGGCAAGGTATAGACGATAAGCTCCCATGATTATTTTTACAATAATACTTCAAGTCTTTTTGCTAGTCTTATTGTTACAAAGTAAAAGCGAAATACGTTGAATTGTTGTACTTACTGCTAGCCAAGGAAAACATTTAAAATGATTAATTCGGATGAAATATTGGATATATATTAAAGATATTGGAGATATTATATACCTACATTGACAAATATTGTAGAAATATTGGACATTTATATACGCTTCAAATAAAAAGTCCAGATTTAAAACGACTACCGTAGTGTGATATTTAGCTCTCAAACCCCCAAAATTGTACTTTTATGCGCTTTTATAGAAATATTTAACTATTAAAACCATTTGACATTAAGATGATAATATAATAATCACATTGACCCCAAACTTGTTAACATGTTATCTAAAATATGATTTTGAATTTTTTAAGTGTCTTTGAATTTTCGAAAGTAAGTACTTAAATCTTTCTTAAAGGCTTAAGGATCCTCTTGAGTTTCATTATGATCGTTAAGTGCTAATGCAGAACAACTGGAAAATTTTATACGTTTTATCAATCAAAATATAACGATTTTTCTTACCTTGTCATTGTTCTAAAACATACTTTGTTTCTAAGCAGAACTTTAATTGTAATACTATAATTTGTTTTGCTAAGAACTGCAAGCGCCGTTACAGAATTAATGTGTCACTTGATTTATGCTTGAATTTTAGAAATGGCTGGAGAAAAATTTGACGTAGAAAAGCTTATTACCGAAGTAGAAAACCAACCAGCACGTTGAGATATGCGAAAGAGTGAATATAGTAATAGAGTGCTAAGAATCTATTCGCTTATCGGATAGTTATTACCAATTTTTCCTCTGGTTAAAATTGTGATAAAATGCATTGTTTCTTTTTGTGATAATTGAATGTATAAAATAATAAGTTTTGCGTTTTGATTGTTTATTGAAAAATATTTCCACTAAAAAACTTATGAATTACTTGATAAAAGTCTTTATATAATATCTCATACTACACATTTCAACTGTCAAACACATGTATACAGATATGACGACAAAATTCTTTACTATTTGTCCATAAAGTGTTTTTGAGTGTTGTATTAATCTTAAAGAAACATAAGACACATCATCTTAAAAACTAACAATTTAATCCTAACTTATCATGGTTGATAGTAAATTAAATTTTGTTATCAAAATAAATCTTTATTAAAGTAAATACATAATATTTTATATATTCTTACATAGTTCAACCAGTTCTTCAGCGTTTTCTTCAATTTTTTTCTTCCACAGTGGATCTACATCATCCCAAAGTGATTGAATCGCTTCTTCTCTGTCTTTAGGGTTAAACCAAAAGTCAACTTTGGGATCCTTTAAAATTTCGTTGAACTTTTCTTTGGGTAAACTTACAAAATTGTTCATGAAGGTGCCGACAAATACTCCAAACAACTTTAAGTCGTTGACACTTTGCACCAGGTCATCAAAAGGAGTTATTTTTTCTAGATCAATATCAAAATTATGCAAGATAGACCTAAGATCGGAATAGTAGACATGAAGAAGATCTTCCATGTGTTTTTCTCTAACTTCTTTTGTAGTATTTATATGTAATAGCATTAGTATATCTAAAGCTTGTGGTGCATACCTTATCAACTGGAAATCTAAAAGAACACAGTGTTCTAGTTGCTTATTTGAGTCGGTTTTGTAAAAGAGGTTATTCATCCACAAATCACCATGTGTTATAACGTTCCTGTACTTTTCAGATTTTTTTACAACCTCGTAGATTTCATTGAGCTTTTTAACTGCCTTTTCTTTAATCTCTTTTAAGGAATTATTAACTAAATGTGGATATCTCTTCAACACACACGCAGAATGCTGAATGTGTGCTTCCGTTAACTCATGTGGAAGAAACTGACTCTCAATAACCACACCTGGAAAATATTGGTCTATTTCTACCTTTTCACCGAGTGTTTTGCTCAATGTTTCTTCAAAAATTATAGACAATGAATGCATTTTTGCTAGCTGTCTAATAACAAATAATAAATGACTATACTCACAAGTAAATTTGTCAATAGAAGAATATCCTTCAAAGCCAAGATCTTTTAATACTATAAAGTCTTCACCCACCATATAACATTCAGGCAAGAAGTCCAAATGCACTGCACCAAGTTGTTTTAACGTTGAAATGAACAGTTTGTAAAATAAAAGCTCTTTGTGGAATGAATGCTTGGTGAGAACTTCATGGAGATCATTTGGTTCTTTCGGTAAAAGTTTAATAAAATACCTATAGACACATTTTTCATCGAACGAGATTTCTAGTTTAGCATAGTCACTTAAAAAACCACCACAGTCCTCGGCTGATTCTAAACGATATCCTGTAAGTTTGTAATTATTATCTGGTAATGTATTTTTGGCGATTTCATAGATTTCTTCTCGTAAAAGAAACGGTTGTTTCAAATACTCAACCAACTCTTCAATCAACACTATCACATCTTTAGAGTAATTTGGACTTCTCTCCTTTGTTTCAAACATTTCTAATATTATTTCTAATTTTACGCAAGGAATGTAGTGCCTTGTAATCTTGTTATATTCTTCTTCGGTTAGCAATGATTCCACTTGTTTTAATTTTAACAATTTCTGAGTTATACCATGGTATATGATTTGTTTAAGTTCTTGGAAATAATGAAACCTCTCGTCTTGATTTGTTTGTTGAAATATAACTTTTAAACATTTGAAAATTACTTGCCTCACTCTGTCATTTTCCCTTTTGTTGTCTTCAATGGTTTTTGTTTTTAGGAAATTTTCCACTGACGTCATATCAATACCATGACCTTTTTGTTTTAATAAACTGCATAAAATTTTTAAATCGACAGACTTTTTCGAATTCACTAATTTTTGTTCTTGAACATAAAGCTGTTCAGCTAGACTTTTTAGTAATGTTTTAATAGTAATGATATTCATACTTTTTGCTTGTATTATATTACTGTTACAATTGTAGTTGTAACTCTTTATTCGAACTATATATGTGCTTTAACAATATGCAAGTAATACTTTTATCTTCAATTTAGTTTGTTTCATGTTTACTTAAAAAATTTGTATTTTATTTATACAAAATACTTAAATATATGCTTTAGCATTACCCACGCAATAATCTTATCTTTTATCTAGTTTGTTCAATATATAGAATTTTCTAGATCTAGAAAGCATTGTTAAAAAAATCTTTATTTTAAAATTTGTGAAATCAGTATTTGTCTGGACCACTTTCTTGTGAACCATAGTAAGCTTTGGAAATAAATCACAATGATTGCAAGTAGAATTACGTATTTTTTTTTGTATTTGATATTTCGACCTGCAATTTGGAAATATGTAGTTTCAAAAAAACGTATAATATTAGGTTATTAGCAGATGAATAATTTTAATAATTCATTTATTTAACTGCTTTACAACTACAAATATTGTTTATAGCAAGCAGTGGCGTAGGAGTATTTATTTCATACAAAATTATCATTATAAGTAAATAATTTTTTTAACAGATAAAGCTTCGAACATTGAAGACCATCTAGTAGGATATACTTTGTATGTAAAAATAATTTCATGTAGAGTAATTTTATATTGTTCTGTTACTTAACATTGACCAGCGTTTTATATTATTGGCAAAACATTATGTAACCTGCTTTTTCCAAATTATCAAAAAAAATTGACACTAAAAGAAGGCAACTCACAGCATCAATTAAAATTAAATTTAATTCGTGTGTCGCACAATGAATGAAATCTGCGTCTGGCTAATGTTTTTTATAAGTGCTTGTTATCCTCCATGTGCACCCGATATAGCGTTGGTTTCTTCGTAATCCTGCTCTCTACTTTTATATAAATCAATTCTATATTTTGTCATAGCATTTTTTTATTTTATTTGGGTACTTACTCATTGGTTTCTACTAATAACGCGTATCGAAAAACAACAGTAGATTTGTCAGATATATATTTTGTGAAATTGTTGTATCACAAACCCCCTTAAACCCACGCCGAATGGTATAATTTGCTTTGACAATCTGCTAATGTCCAGCAGAAACGACAATATGGTTTGTTTAACCCAGATATTACTGAAACTTTTATTGTTAACATTTTGAATTAATTTCGAATTTTCTTGGAAATTATAGCATACGGAACCAAAAAACACAATCATATATTTTTTTATATGAACATGTTATATATGTTTATAGGAATATGTTAAGTTTTGACATGTTCTTTTAAAAGAACGGTAGTAATATACGGTACCAGATATCATATATATTTTATTAGTATCAATTTACAAAGAATGAAAGGATTTAAAACAAAATTTTGGATGTAAAGGTATTTTGCACTTTTCACACAAAAACTGGACTTTTTTGTGACAATATCCACATCGCGATTGCTTTTCTTGATAAAGAACCAAGTGGTTAATATCGTCATATCTTGAATTGGCTACCGAATTCGAATTCCGCTTAGAAGGTCCGCGTTTGGTTTCTTTTTTAAAAGTTTCCAAAATATTAGTTGCAATATATCTTCTAAATTCAAGTTGATCCAGTTTGCCGTCTTGAGTTTTGTGAATCTGATACGCATTTTGAATAGCCATATCAACGCAATGAGCAAAAAAGGGAAAATACCATTTCTTTCCTCTTATGGACCCTCGATATAAACTGATGTTCTGGTCACTGCGATCAACGCCACCCATGAAGTTATTGTATATTCTAACAATATTTGGTTGAGAAACTTGAATATGTTTTTTCTCTGCTTGTGAAAATCTCTTTACAGAGAAGCAAGGCATTACTGGTACAAAATTGGAAGCAATAGAAACGATATTATTATCATGCCAGCGGCAAACCACTATTCCTGTATTTTTATCAAGACGATACTCGTATTTACCACGTTCAGTTTTTTCATAATAGATGAACAGGGTAAAAGGCATTTCATGGTGCGATTTTCCCTTACAGTGCCTGTACCAAATATGCCTCTTTGTTTTAGCTCATTCAGTAAATGACTAGAAGTAGAATAATTATCAAAAATAAGATGGAATCGCCTTTGAGGCCATACTTCATTCAATCTTTTTGCATAGGATAGAACTACTGATGCACCCAATCCAAGGACTTTATATTGTTCAGGTATTGTAGTGGAATTACCTTGGTAAGGAGAAAACCAAACTATGTATTCCAAACGAAGGGCTCCTACCCACATTTTGTACCCACAACGGATTGGTTTTCCCCTGATGAATTGTTTTGTGGGATGGCGACCAAAATACGGAACCATTGCCTCGTCTATGCTGTGATGTTGTTCTGAAGGGGAAAATTGTATACATTTTTTGTTTATTACGTCGAACAGGGGTCGCATCTTGGCAAATCTATCAAATTTATCTAATGACAAGTTATTGCAAACATACAAAACTTTCATTATGTGGGAAAATCTATCCCTAGATATAACAGCTACCAACATTGCGTTGTGCGAATCGTCACGATTTTCCCAGTACATGTACCTTTTCGGCACAACCACATAACCACTCAATACAAGAACGCCTATAAAACATCGAATCTCATTTTGAGTAATGTCGTTCAAAAGATTTCTTTGTCCTGCGTAGATGTTAGTGTATTCGGTAACCAAATTGATGACTTCATCATCAAAAAACAAATTGAAAATTTCCATCGGCGACTGAGTCATTTTCGGTCCAAATTGAGTTTTCCAGTAAGTACAATCAGGGTGTTGATACAAGTCTCCTTGAATCCAGTGTGCAGATATTCTCTTCTCTTTTTCCTTGGAAAAAAACAAAGCCAATGAAATATTGTCATTATCCGAATCTTCTTCTGGTAGGCTGGAATTCACAGAATCTTGTGGTAATTCAGTCGCGTTGTCAAAAACAAGTTCTACATCGTTTCTCATCTGACTTCCCGGTAAATTATTTATTGTAGTTAGTTCTTCATCGCCGAAGTCGCAATCGGTGACATCATCATTGGCATTTTCTGGGGGAAATATGATCAAACCATCTGGAGGGACTGGGATTTCATCAGAATCAAGCTCTTCTAATAGCTCATGCAATTTGAGAGGCCTCCTGAAACAATACGCACGTTGGTAGTACTAATTACTACCGTCCTTTTAAAAGAACAAAATGAAATCACAAGCGGCGAGCCTTTGAAACAACGTGACAACTATTCGAGCCAAGAATATACGTACATAAGTCCCTATTATACAATAATCCACATGCCAATGCCGTCAAATAACTAGACGGTTCTAGACTTACTTCCAATTATAAGCATCCATTTTGTACTCCAAAAACTGGCAATTTACACAGATAACCTCACAATTACAGCATGTGCGCGCACTAAAATCGTTAAAACTTGTCGAATGCTGGCTCTTGAAAACACTCCATCTAGAGTTATCTACCAGTTGGTAGCTGTACTAAACTAAATTACGCATAATTTACACTGCCTTTTAAAAGGACGGTAGTAATATCTGGGTTAAAAAAATAGAAGAACACAGTCATGGCCTTAAAATTTTTATACTAGTCTTATTTAAGAACGAGTAATAATAAATTGAAAAAGCTCGGTTTGTTTGAGGATCCTTTGAAAACAGGTCTTATGGTTTAAACGGAACCAATTGCTGATATGGTGACTTGATCCAAATTGTTCCAGATATTGAAGATTCTTTTTGGCAAAAAGTTCACCCAGGACCTTGCAGTAGTTTGTTCCCTCTTTAATTTGTATTGATGGTCTCTTAATCTTTCGTCTTGATTCAAAGTAAATATAGTGTTTAGGTTTCCAAAATTATGTTTTAAAATACTGAAGGACCTAATTAGGTCACCTCGAAGACGTCGCTGCTCGAATGTCGTAAGATGAGCCATGGATAGTCTATCATAGACTCATAGTTAGGTCCTACACGGCAGTATGCCAGTCTCGTGGCTGTACGCTGAACATTTTCAAGTAGATTTTATCACGACTGAGATCTGGATTCAACACTGGTTCAGAAAACTCAAGAATAGGTTTAACGTATATTCAGTAAAGTTTACTAACAAAGGTTAGAGATATACGTGTAAAACATTTACGGATCAAAAACAGTTTCGAGTTTGCACGTTTAAGATTAAGAAAAATAGATTACTAGTTTAACTGGGACAAAACTAAATTTAAATTAAAGAAATAAGTAGTGGCATACATTACGAAATTATTTTTGCAAGGTGGTGTTAAACTAAATTAAATGTGAGCAGTAAGAAGCGAGTTGTCAGAAAGACCCACAGGAGAGGACAGTTCAAGTTTAGTAGAAATTAATTGATCGTCATTTGTGAAAAATAAGTCTAAAATTGAAATCTAAAAGGATTATTTTTGGCTCTAAACCTTGTAGGTTCTATCAGTTGTAATAAATTTGAGTTCATGACAAAGTTTTTAAACAAATTTTGGGAATTGATAGTATCAGTTATGGAAATAATGGGCCAGCTTATGTCTGGAAAATTGAAATCTCCAACAACAATAAGATTTTCAAGGGATGATTATTCCTCAACTTTGTTAATAAGCATATTGTCCTGAGTAAGTACTGTATCCGGAGGTCGATATATGCAAACTATATTAAATATGACAGAGTTATTAGTAATAAGTAAGGAATATAAAACCTAACTTGTATTTGTTACGAATTTGTATACGTGGGAGGGCTATCAGAGTGGATTCTTTCCCGTTCCGATCCGGAAAGTAACAGACCAGCAGCGTATGGCCCTTTATGGCCTGATGTTTGACCAGTATCTTTTCGTACGTGAATCCGACCATCCCCTCTGTACTTAAAAACTGCATACCTGGATATCGGGTCTGCATGATCTGAAGGAGTTGAGGCTCTGTGTACAGCGCCGTTTTATCAGCAGCGGCTATACTTAGGGGTTCAGAACCCTCCCAGCTTATGACAACGTCCACTAAAATTACACACCCGCTCATCCTGCTGCGCGATAAGGTCAGGTATCTTAAGAGTCCCGTCGGCGCATCAACTATAGCCGTCCTCAAGTTTCTGGCTCAATTCACGTGCGATAGATGCTGAATTTCCCGAAGATGTTCTTGTCTATTTAATG